AATAATATGAAGAAAAGAAAACCCTGCTGAAGCACTTGGTTTCACAGAGAGAAACTACATAATCATATTGCCTCTTGTCAGGTGCAGTATACACTAGTTCTTCCCATCTATAATTGTGTTAACACAGAAAAATGCCCATATTAAGTTTTCAATGGCCTTTTAATTAACACACTAGATTTTGAAAACTGTTTTTTATGTTTAAAATTATGCGTGAAATATACTCTGCAGACTTCATGAGTCAACCTCACCATCTCCTTTACTTCTCCTCTTCCCTGCTTGTTTTCTCACATGCCCTACTGTTATGCCCTACTCCTCAAATGAGGGCCTGCCATTATACCTGACTGAAGAAAGAGTCATTCAGAGTTCATTCAACAAAATCAAAATTTGACTTCCAGTAAGCGTTGTTTTTTTCAAAGTGAGAAACTCCACTTTATTTAAGTGCATGTGTTTTTGCTGAAATGACTGAATCAGCACTACAAAAAGATAGTACACCAAAACCCTAACTAGTTAAACAGAAAATATCTTTCAACTATATCATCAATAATAAAAATGCCACAAGATATATTCAGAATCAATACACAAAGCACTTATGATCCACTAGTGGGACTATCAACTACTCAATTTTCTTTGCTTAGTGATTTCCATGTGAAAATCCATGGGACTAACTTCTCACAATCCATTCACTTTGTCATATCCAAAACACAGCTGTTCCCTTTGGGGAGATTATCCACATGCAGACCAAAGAAAGCTATTTCTGAGGCTGTGCCTCAAGCCATGGCAAATTCCAGGATAAAGTATATATGAAGAAAATCTCAGGCACAGGGCAACTTAGGAAAAGGGGTATCCAAAGATAGAAAGCCTAACCTGTGAATCTTTTAAAAATAATAAATTAAATTAGGTACCAAAACAACTCGGCACAGCCAGAACTTACGTTGTATCTCAGAAGAAGAAACCTTGCCTCCTCATGGACTCCAGGAGAAAGTAGTTGTCCAGGGAAGAGACTGTAAAGGTCAGGATTGATGCCATGACATTTTTTCAGCATTTTGGAAAGAATCAGTGACACTAGAAGGGCAAATAATTCACTGAAGTGACCAAGAGGTTCCCCTTAGACTAGCTGAAGAACATATTGCACAATGGTACTGTACTTTATCTGACTAATGTGATCATACTGGAATTGAGTGTGCACTGTCACATTCCCGCTCATGCTGATAAATGCAGAGTGAAGAAACTGTCAGCAATCCAAGAGGAAAGGAAGGAAAAAAGTTGCCTAGCCAGAAACTTAAAGACAAAATAACTGTCGCCATGAGACGTTTATGATCCCTGTTCCTCTGCTATTTCCACACAACACCATTTAGGTGAGGGCCATTCCTCTCAGCCAGTGCTGTCACATCAAGCAAAAGACACAAGCAGCTAGGATGAAAAGCTTGAAGAAACCCCCCAGGAAAAAAAATGTTCCACATCACAGCCAGCGATGCTATCCCAGTCTTAGCATAAAGATGACAAAACCACCCACTTTTTTCCATTTCTCATGCAGAAAAATGAGGAGTATATGTGCACATCTACACTGACATACAATTATTTATCTGGGTTTTGTTTCAGATTGGAGGTTGTGAATTTTAAAAAGAAAACATACCACAGATCAAGAATCAATGAATTGCATGGACATGTCCTGAGAAATAGAAACTACAGTCTGTTCTGAATTGGTAGTAAAAAACATGTCTTCCTTTTTCTTCAGCTGTATACAAACTGATTAAGTAAGACAACTTATCAGCTATAAAAAATTACCAGGCTTTTGATTTTGCTGTTTTTTCCTAGATGCATTACAGTCATTATGATACATCTGATAATGACAACAAAAAAAAAGTATTATCCCTGACATAGAAAAATGCATTTCTGACTGCCTTGAGAAATTTTGCAAAACAGGTCTCATCATCAACCATATTGAGTTTAATGCTGGTTGTTCAAAGAACATCTCCACTGATACTGAGCCTAAGGACACAACCTATCAAAACCTTTCAACTTTCTTCAACTAAATAAGAAAGAGCCTGGCTGAAAAGTCTGCATGCACATCCAAAAGGTCTGTCCTTGAACCAAGCTCCAAGTCTTGCAAAAAGTTCCTGAAAAATTATAATAAAATAATATTATTATAATATAATACAGTATATAATTCAGTGGGTTGAGAAGACAAATAAAAGATTGGGATTCACTTTTCATCTGAAAGCAAATTCTAAGTTTGGTGACTTGGGCAACAGCTAGGACTAATTTACGTAATGCATTTACAGAACTTTATTTTTCTATATTTATATATATATATAGTACATGTGTGTATATCTATATACCCACCTTTATTTATTTATTTGTGTAATTTTTACTACAGTATAATGAAGCCCATAAGAAGACCCATGCTGAAGTGGTTTTTTTCAGGTTTTGTGTAGCTCATGTTCTTAACACTAATCAAATGATCTGTTATGTATGCACTGCGTGTACGACACTGGATCTTCAATCTGGGTAGTTCAGAAAAAGAAGACAACACTGAAGCTGTTGTAGTTATCTGTGTGCACCTCTGCATCATGCCCTGTTGATAAATTCCAATAACATGTTTTACCACTGTTGCTGTTTCTTTGCATTTCCATAAGGCAGAGAGAACCCAAGCCTGGTCCTAATACACAAACTCATGCACAAACACAGTTGGACTTTAAAGAACCTTAAATTATTAAGACAGACAATGGACAGACAGAGGAAACGTGCAATTTTGCTTGGTAAGTATAAAAAGGAGTGCACAGCCCTAGCTGTGTTAGTAATGGCTTATATCTTCTGCTGAAAAAAACCCCACAAAATACCTCCATATTACCTTTTTTCTTTTGAGAAATAAGATCTCTGCAGTGTTTCACTAGGTTAAAGCATACTGTGAGGCTGCATGATGTGGCATCATGAACTTCCTCATCCTCTGTTTACATTTCCACGCAAATTCTTCCCAGCAAAGAAAAGTGAGAAGTTTTGGGTTACCATATGAAGAAACTAAGCCTGATTGTCACTTTGTAGATGAGAGCCAATGCTGGCTCACAAGTTTGGTGAGGGAGAAAAAAGGAAATACTTGTTTCAGTTCTGTTAGACTTACGGGATGGTGCATTTTCATTTACCACTGAACTAAGTAACTCAAGTGTTCCCAGCTGTGTACTCCAAATTTGAATGTTAGCCCAGAAGTCGCTAGCTTCATCTCATTGCCAGGGTAAAATGCTCACCTTCTGGTTGTATGCTTCACACCAGTGCATCAGATTGTCAGAGGCCTGAACTTCTGAACTAAAGAGAACTCTTGGTGTTGTTTTTTCTTTCCCAAAACTTATTTTACTGCTTATTCTGCCCAATCACTCTTTTGTATCATTCCAGTCCTTGAGAGGGGTGATTGAACTAACAGCCCATACACATTCACAGTGTGAAGGTGTTTGGCCGTGCAAAATCACAGACAAATTATGCCCCACCAGAGACAATGCTCTCCAGGCACCATCCACTGGCTTCCTGAGGCAATGGCAACTCTAAGACCATAAATTTATTTCATATAAGTTATTGAAAGATTACACAGGGGGACCAAAGCTGGATTTGAACTGATCATTTAAGGAGGAAAAGCTCCATATCCCATTGTATTGAACTATCTGGCATCCTGCTTCATTCCCTGCCTCTGGCTGGAGATTTAAAAAAAAAACAGTACTCTGCCAGAGGACAGAGTGGGTCCATCTTCATGGAGCAAAGACAAACATTTGATTCCTTTTTAAGATTACTCTTTGCAAATAAGGGAAGTATCTCTTCAGACTGAGATATGCTAACTTCTCTGTAGCAAAGGATCTTTGTTGTTTCCTGTGCCCTGCCTAGCCTAGTTTATTACTGAGAAATAGTGATAGAAAGCAGTCAAGGGAAAGGCACTCAAACTGTGGCAGGGAGAAACTCCTCTTAAGAACGCTAAATCCTAATTAGGGACTAACCTGCATACTTCTAAATCATCAGACCAGTCATCATACAACACTGGAGGCTTCTGAACAGCATGAGGCACAGTGGGCCCTGCCCCAGCAGGTGCTCCATGGTCTGGGGCTGCCAGAACATCGCTGCCAGAGCCTGCCTCTGCAAAGGAGTCCTTCGTGTGTCTAAGGAAAGGTGCAGGCTGCCGGTCTCTGTGGTAGCTTTTCCCTTTGCTTTTCCCACATTTTCTTGAGGAAATCCTCGCTTCCTGAGATGATGCTGAAGACTGTGATTCCTTAAGCCTTGGAATCCTTCGGCGGTGATTTAAAGTAGGATTCTCAGGGTCAGACACCTCTTGTTTCTCTTTTCCCATTGTCCCCAAGGTGACAAGTTCAACAGCATTGTTTGAGGACCCATCCTGGTTACTGCATGATCTATTGTTTCTTCTCCCTCTCCTGGCCATCCTGGCCTTTTCTCTTGCTCTCCTCCTAGCCTGAGCCCACTGACTCTCATCCGAAGATGATGATGAATCAGATGCATTCCAGCTGGATCTCGGAGGCTCAGGATGCAATTTACAGTTTCTCCCCTTGCCTTGCTTTTCTGTGTGCTCACCATTGTCTCCAGTCTCTCTTTTCCGCCTAAACCTTCGTTTTATGAGTTTCTTACCACCAGGCTCCCTATTAGAAGGGGCCAGCACCATGACAGGGGTTGCATTTTCAAGCTCATCTTCTGACAAATCATGCAAGGTAGTAGATCTAGACAAGGCAGTAAGCAAAGGAAAGGGATGGAAATGGTAAGGGTGGGTGGAAAGAGAAATCACACACACAAAAAAAAAAAAGAAAAAGGATGAGAATGAGAACATGAGTTTTAATAAACATGAGACTAAAACACAAAAACAAAAACAAAACCAAAACAAAGAGAGATCAAAAGAAAACTAAAGTCTATGTCAACTATGAATAAAGTTAAGCAGAAGCAAGAGCTACGTAATATTTAATAAAAGCAACTAAGAAGTATCAGCCAGATGAGAGTATATTTTTCTCAGCACATACCTACAAATGTCCTGAGTGGAGGGGCAGACAGACAACTGAGATTGACTCCTGGGAGCTGTTCCTGTTGTAGGACTGCTTGCCTGTTGAAATAAGTTAGACAGTTTGGAATCTTTGTCCATGAAATACATTGCAGATATTTTACTGCTTTGCCACATGATCACAAAATCAAAATAACTGCTTCTGCTGTTCATAGTGCACTGTTGAACACACAGAAGCTGGCAAAATACAGGAAGCTTGAACAAAAGTGAAACCTATTTGTGGAACTAAGTACGACTGAAGTGTTTGAGCTTTCATTCGCTCATGAATACTTTTTGTCACTGTTTGAGGAAGCAGTTTTCAGCATTTGAATTTTCATTTGGCTCTACTGTAAATGTCTGAAGGGAAAAAGTACTGGTTTTCTTTCATGTAGTCAACCAACCATGATGATACCTTTCCAAATCACGTGAAGTGCGTTTGCGATACACTGAGTGATGAAGAACACAATGCTAAGTTGGCTTGAGTGAACTGATGAAACAGCAGGAAGATTAGAGTGTGTTTTAAAAGGTTTTCAAGGCAATCAGATCTTCTAGAAGAGCTGAAAATGTTAAACTGAGATGAGCCAGAAAAATTCAAAGTGCACGCTGCATCTCTGCAGAGCTGATCACATTCTCAAACAGCAGAAGAGATATAAAACATGTTTAGTATGTGACATTTTGCTCACAAGGTTGTTGTTACAAATTGCAGATTCAGTAACCAAATACTTTCACTGAAAACATATTTTGATGGCATTAACAACAAACCATTTCAATCTGCCTTGCTATCTACTGGCAGCAGAACTGTATGGAATCCAAATGTAAATGCAAGGCTTTGTGATTCTTCAGGATCCCTCACAAGACACAGTATTGTGGGAAGTGGGTTCAATACAAATCATTCTTAAGGCTGTGACCTTCCTGTAGCTGATCAGGGGTATTATTAGCTTTTAGTATGCAACCCCATCCACCCCATTGTGATCACCACTTCCAAATGCAGACAAAATACTACAAGCCTCAGAATTCCGCAAGATCAAGCCCCAGATGCAAGGGAAGGATGACTGTTAAGAAAGAGTACAAAGTACAAATCATACAAAGATGTAAAGCCTGTTATCCACATCGTTTCTAATAGCAAACCAAATTCAGTCAGATAATTGAAATTATTTCTAGCTCAACTTTCACAGACATTTTTGTGGTGTTAAAAAGGTATTGGAAAATTAGTAGTACAAGCAAAAATAATTACAAACAGCAAAAATAATTACAAATAATTACAAACAGCAAGTACCTGCCAACACCTCACTTTTAGCCAAGGTTCTCAATATCCATTCTATTTTATACATGCATTTTTTGGAACCATCAGTCACCACTATGTGGATTTTTGCTTTTATATGGATACCAGCTGTGCCTTAAGAATAGTGTTTTTTCATGAAAACATTCTTCTAGCTTCTGGAATTCAAGAAACCATTTTTACCTGTTGATCAATATCACAAAAATACACCAAACCTACCAACAATATTACTAATTCTTTACTTCTAGTTCCATGAATGAAAATCAGAGATACAACAAGCCAAAATGAGAAATTAAATTGATAAAGCAATTGATAAATTCATTGACACAATCCTTGTGTTCTAAGTTTTTGCCATGTCTGGATTCACCATCAAAGGAGGAACATTAGTGTGTATAAATGCAGTATTATGCTGGAAGAAAAGGACAAGTATCTGTAAGAGAAATTGTATTCCATATCTCCTTTTCTACAAAAGCAGTACGTCAATTATATGCATTGGGACAGAGTATGAGTTTTTCCTACATACATATTGGAAACATATGTCAGATGCATGGTTGGGTACATCATCTCCTTCCATCTCAGCCTCAGAGATTAGCATTAAGTAATTAGGCATGTCTTAAGCTACTTAATCAGGAAAGATGCAGACATCAGCACCAATAACTAACGTTATAGAGTTACATGCTGCTGCTGCATGAAGGAACATCCCGCCAGACTAAGCCCCAGCGGAAAAACTGCTGAATAAAGCCAGCCCCAGAGTCGAGTGTGGAATCCTGAATTCATGCCTCATGATGAGCTTATTTCTTTCTTCCCCTCACAGCTCCAGGACTGTTACCATTGCTTCTTTCGGGATCTCTGTACTACAGGGGGTTGGCCTGGTCTTCAATGGTGGTCAGGTCAACTCCATGCAGTAAAAGGAAATTTTACATCACCTTGCCCCAAGCAGTACCCTTTGAAGGGATAAGGAGATTGGCTAAGCTAGCCCAGCAACCATACAGTAGGTCTGCACAAGTTCAAGAAACTTTCAGCAGCTATTAAAGCAGGAAGCCAGCTAGACAGTTCTTAAGAGAGCTGAAATAAAGCCAAAAACTAAACAAGCTCCTTGAAAAGCTTTTACACTTATGATTTGGAACTGCAGACCAGCAGAAATCTAATTATTTTAAGATAAAAATTACATTATCAGTTTGACTACTTAAATCTTACATTTCACTTTCAACTGTCAAGAGGTCTGGACTGTTTCAGCCCTGCTTAGTCAAATTTACTTTCTAGTTCCCCTGTGCAGGCATGATTCTATGTTTAGTTGTACATAACTCATAGGAAAGTTTATTTCCTTCAAAACCAATTTACATAAATATCTTTTACAAAATTAATGCTTTTTGCTTATTTGTCTAAGTCCTATTGAAGCAAACATGACAACTGGCAGGCAAAAAGCCAATGCACCATTTAAGTCTTCAAAAACAAAGCATGACAAGTTATATACAAGATAATGCAGATTCTCACCTGTGATCAAATATAATTAATTCGATTTCTACAACTTTGTAACACAAATTTTTATCTACATTATCTAAATTTATATGCATTTATCTACATTAAATTAGCTTTTCATGGTAAAATCATAGATTCATAGAATACCAGCTTGGATGGAACCTCAAAGATCACCTAGTCCAACCTTTCCTGGCAAAAGCACAGTGCGGACAACACGTCCCATCACCCCGTCCAGCTGAATCTTAGAAGTGCTTGATGTCGTGGAAAAAAAGAAAATGAACTGATGGAGTGATTTCTAAAACCAAAAAGGTTAGTGTGTCTGAGATTAATTTTCTGATGTTGATTTGTGTCCCTCACAGGAAATGGAGGCCCTTAATTTGTACATAGGCACAGTTTTTGTAAATTAAATAGGAGTGGAAGGACCTGCTAATGTCAAGTCTGTCCTTGCTACCACGTCATATGAATATAACAATTCACAGCTAGATGAGCTGTTTTTAAGAACCTGTAAATTTCAGCTCATCTGGAGGCCTAGTCCAGACCTCTATCCCCAAACCCCTTTACTTTTTCATCCTACCCTGTTCTGACAGCAGTAACAGTATCTGCTTTCTGCTACCAGCACTTCCTCTATGTTTACCCCAATTCTTTTGGCAATATTCCCTCTTTTCCATCTCTTTTACAAGCCATACATCCCAAACTAAGTTTAAAAATTTAAATAATATCTCTTAAATCCAGTCTGAGAGAAAAGATATCTAAAGGGGCATTTACTTGGGTAGTGCGTTTACAGAGAGAATTGTCTATTTTCAAGGCATATCTGACAAACCAGAACATGATAATTTGAATATATTCTGCTCACATCTTATCAGCCCAGCTCTTTTGGGAATGTATACGCAACAGATGTTGGAAACAGTCTCAAGCAGACAGATCTTATTGCTGTAATCACTATCCCATTGCTATTTTGCTATACAGCACACTGAAGATTTTGAGATACTGTATTTAGTGAATAGAGGGAATCATACTGATGCTGAGGACTCCAATTCCACCAGGGAGGCTGAATAACATTTTTTTAAAAGTATTCCTTAAATGAATGTCTTCTTCAGACAGGTATATTGTACAGCTCACTGGAATGGGAAAACTAAACAAGCACTGTACTAATTTTATCATAACAAATTGCATCGGTAGCAGAAGTAAATGTGGTAATTCAAAATAAAGCTGTCTCACAATTAATTTATAAGCAAGGCAGCTCATTTCTCTATGCCATCAGCACAAGGAAGAGGTCTTAGGGAGAATGCCAACTCCAGCTGATCAGGTTTGGCATTTCAAAAAGATTGTTAGGAGAGAGAGATTCCCCAGCCAGCACCTTCTGCTGTCTCGGCCAGTTTAGATGAACTCTCTTGTCAAGGATAAGTAATTCAATTAACAGACATGACAAGGCAGTTATCCATAATTATTTTTGGTATGTTGGTAGTTTGCTTCTCAAGCAGAATACTGGTAAATGCAGAGTTTTCAGGATAAGTGAGATGATCACCCAACACAAGGGGACTTTAATGTCACACACATGTGTCTGTGTTAGAAAACCAGCAAAGACAGAAATGGGGGGCAGAAATAAGTACAACTGGTGAAGACAGTAAGAATTTCAAATCAAGACTAACTTTACTTAGGTGTTGTTCAAGATCTGACAGAAGTTTCCAGATAATAAAAAGATGATAAATAAAATAAAATAATGGGGAAAAAAGGTCCTTAGAGGCTGTTGCTTAACCTGCATGTTGAAACTAGTGCAAGAACATGAGTCAAGTTGTGCTTTTCCTAAGAACATAGAAGGGATCTGCTTCAGCTTAACAGAAAAGCTGAGTAAAAGCAGATTCCAGAAGTGCAAAGAATCACACAGTGATGGAGTGAAGCTTTAATTTGACAAGCTAGATGATGTAATGGGCAGCTTATATAAAATGGCCTCACAGCTATCACCAGAAAGGCTAATAAACCCTCTCCTGTCTCTGTTCTGAAGAGAAGCATTTCCAAAAGCTGGCCAACTGAGAACACTGCTGAAGAAGAAAGCTGCAGACAATTGATGGGTGATAGGGCAGACAGGGAACACGTCTAATGCTTTTATTCTCCTGCTGAGTTTGCTCTAGTAGCAGTGATGCATCACAGAATACTCCAGATCCCACCAGCCATTATAGTTAAAAAGCTGAAACTCTATCCTATTTGAAACACAGCACACAAAGGAATGGATCCCTTAGAAGATTAGAGCAGTTTGTCTGGCTATAAGCTCAGCAGGAGACCCAGTCTGTGTATTTTAATCTGAAAA